TGTAGCAGTGGAGCAGGAGGAAGCATTAGCAGTCATAACAACTTCTTCATAAATGTCTGCAGTACAGCTATTTTCTTCACTTTTGGGGCCTCTGAGCACTACTCCACTATAAACATGGATAAGCAGAAGATAAGAACATGACCTAAATAAGAGAGAAATCTGCTGCTCACTAACACAGCCAGTGCTGCCAGCTGGTTCGTGCGTGTCCTATTCAAATGGCTCCTGTGTCTTGCACCAAGCTGAGGCTAATAAATATGGTAGCTAAGAGGAAGCCCTCACTGACTGGAATCTACCATACTCCCTTTCCTCATTTCTACATATCCAGATACTTTCAAAAGCAAGTTTTTATTTTCCAAAGCAAAGGACACGTTTAAGGCATGGTTTAGACTGTAATTCTCATAACCAGGCTGCACATTTCAGCTTCAAACTATTCCTTCAGCTCTGAAAATTCAGCTTCAGGGATAAACCTCCATGATGATCATTTGGAGCTGTGCCTGTCACACATGTGACCTGGCATCTGTGTTCCTGGGAGCCATATGTGTCTGTTGAAAACCAACTGTGTTTAAAAGAAGAAGACAGGCAAACTGGTAACCCCTACAAAGAAAAGACAGAGGAGTAAGGACACCAGCCACAATCTGATGATTTAATAGCACCTAGCAATCAGGCTACTAGATTGCACTTAATAGTATTTCATCAAGAGGGATTGCTCACTGAAAAAAAAAATAAAAAAAGGAGCAGAGCAATGAAAACTGTCCTTTGTGGTCTCATTTATACTTCCATTGGTTCCACTGGGATTAGTGTTCTGCATGAATCATGATGGGACACTGATTGCTTGGCCAATACTCAGACAGCACATCAGGGAGGGAAGGGAACTGCATATAGGAACGTAACATCCTGTTTGGAGGCTTAAGAGGCAAAAATCCAGCAGCAATCACTTCCAAGGGTAGTAACTCAGTTCTTATTGCCTTCATAATGACTCCACAGTTATTCAGTCGATGAAAATGTAGCCTGATATTGAGCATCAAGAAGATAAATTATCAGTAAAGTGAGTCTTACACACCCTACTTCAGTAGAGGACTGCAAAAACACAGCATGTACTCTTAAAGTATGTTGCCCTCCTCTGTAAGGTGCTGAGATGGCTGAAAAGGAGGCAGGAGCAAACCCTTTCTTTACAAAATACTGTGTGAAGAAAAAAAAAAAAAGCTGTTACAATTTAGTAAGCAGATTTTCCATTGCAATTATTGAATAGTTCATGTTATAAAGTTCATGTTACCCATCATTTTGGCTGAGAGTGAAAACACAACAAAATTATTTTATGAGCTTCAGATTTGGCAATAACAACATGGATGAAATGCCAAATTCCAGGAGGTTATGGCACTAATTTTTGTATAAGACCCACTATTACAGACAAAACAACTATAGTCTAATTAAATAAAAGCAAGCAAACAAACAAATCCACCAAAATTGACATAAACCATAGCAGTCAAACTCAAGCAAATTTAATCTTGTTTGATGTAAGCTTCCTTCCTGCCTCTCTCCCCAGGCTCCAGGCAGTTCTCCTCTGTGTCTCAAGTCATGCTGGAAATAACTTACAAAGCAAACTCTTGGCTGAAGACCCCAAATGTCTTATGGTCAATGAACACATCCCCCGAAGACTTGCCTTACATTTAAAATGGAATACAAAGGATTCTCCAACTATACGAAGGATTCTCCAACTATAGCAGCTAAAAAAAAACCATCCAAAAGAAACCAGGGGATTATTATCAAGCTGGATATAAGACAATGAACAAAAGCTAATGAACAGAAGACTCACTGTGTCATGCTAAAATTAGACTGCATTGACACTTGCACTGTCACGGGTTTGTGGAATACTCAAAGGCATATTATTGTCGTAAGCATCATATATATCTTTATCAATTTGATAATTAGAGCTAATTCAGTACATTTCTAGTTCAATGGGTAAGTGACAGGATAATGTCATAGAGGAAAAAATGATGGAGTTGGTATTAAGAGGCACACTTAATGCAACTTTTAACACTGAAAAAAAAATGTGAACAGCAAGTCTTCTAAAGTTCCTGAAAGAAACAGCAGGAACAGAAGGGACAGCATTACCTCTGTCACTGTCCCCCAACACAGGTGCTCAGTGCTGAAGCCAACTCCCTCAGTCACCTGTACAGCCAAAACCAGCCTTGTTGGCAATAGGAGATCCACCAAAGTGCCAGAACAGGAAAAGAGATGGGAACACAGAGGTGGGAATGAAAGGAGAGGGTGGGAGAAGTTGGTGTTTAGATGATCTGAAACTGGCATGGAATCACACCTTAAACTTCTTAAAATAAGCAGGGTCATTTTGAGAGAAATAAGGAATGATCATATGAGTGGCAATCCCAGCAGGCTTGAGAACATTGCATTCTCTGTCTGAGATAGGGACAAGGAGGCAGGACAGGCTGTGGAAGACAGAAAGCTTCTGCCAAGTTGCACCTGGCTAGAGTTTCGACCAGTGCTTCCACCAGTGCATGTAGTACAGGTCTCACATGCCTTATCACAGCACCCAAAACTCTGTATAGCAGAGTCCTTCTGCCCAGATGTAATGAAGAAACTCCAGGCTACAATCTGAAGAAATCCAGCCAGGTAAAAGAGAGAAGGGAGAAAAGTAGTGGAACAATTGCCCTTGTATCACTGTATGAAACAATACACTGTAAATGAGCAGTAAAATCTGAAAAAAAAAAGGAAGAAAAAAGGAAAAACAGGACTGAAAAACAAAGAAAAGAATCTGAAGCTGAAGCTTCAAGACATTATGCGGCAAAAACATAGGCATTTCTTGAACTATCTGGGTAGTTTGATTTCAATCAACTATGTGTTTGCAAAATGCGTAGTTTGATCCATATGCAGAAATATTTCACTGAGCTGGGAAGTGACAAATGATAACACAGGTGTAACTCCTTCAGAAATTCATTTTGGAGCTCCCATTACCATAACAATGCTAATAAACTGGAAATTGCACAGATGAAGAGAAATAAAAGTTGGTTGCCGGCTTAAATTATGATTGAGAAGTCTCAAAGCCCCTGAAGTGTACATGCACTCAGAGAATCATCAAATACACAATGCTGAATTCAAAGATAAGCGAAGTGCTGATTAGGAAAGAGATTGTTTATGAAAGTTTTCTGAAAAGCAGGGTATTTTAGACCATGGAATAACCTCTCAGGAAGGAAGCAGAACTGTAAAGCCTGGCAACTGCTGAGGACAAAGTGACAGCCTGGTGTAAGGGCAAGAGTCTCTGAGGTAACAGATCCATGCACAACTGTTCCTGTGCTTGATGAAAGGCAGGTTAACATGAGAACGGGACAGCTGCTCAACGAACATTAAATGTGACAGGAACAAGCCCCTACAACAGCAGCTCTCATTTTCTACATGACCTCTAATACTGCAATTGCCTGATCCATTCAGCTTGGTTTCACATACGCCTCCTTGTCCTCATGCCACTTCACTCTTACAATTATAACCTCTTCTATAAAAACAGGAATACATCTGCAGTTTTCCTCAAGTACAATTGACTATAGCATTCCTTGAAACGTCAGAAAATTGGCTTTCCTTTCAGACCATGCACATTTTTACACAAAAGCATTTCCAGCCCCAGTTTCTGCTGCCATAGCCGTTTCGTAGCCAGAAGAATGGGCGCTTATTTAAAGTGTCAACAATAGAAAGTAATAAGAGCGTGACACATCCTGAGGCACTGCGAGCTGCTCCTGAGGGAGAGCTGCTTTGGGAGCACGACCCTTTCCCGGGTTCTGTCGGTCACTGTCACACCATTATCGGATCAGCTCGGTCAGGGCACTGCTGTTCATTTACTGCTGGGAGTGGTGGTGAGCAGCGACGATGCTGAGAGCTTTAGGTGCTCGAAACATTGTTTTTACAATAAGGGGCTCCCTTCGGCTTGCAGACACATCGCTCTGTTTCTTCCAGCTAACTAATGAGTTTTCAGCCCACCTCCATTAGAATTTTAGCACCAAACCAATCCACAACAAAACCAAAACCGGCCAGCCAACCAAACCCCCAAACGGAGCTGTTTCAGCACGCAAAGCCTCTGTAGACACATATGAATAATTTTAAAACCAAGCATTAATGAAACACAACACCGCTAAATCCCTGTCGGCGGCTGGTCCTGCCAATCTAATTGCAGCTCGCAATCAAGGTGACTTTAGAGGAAAAACTTCCCCTTGCAGGAACAATCCCCTCACAGGGTCGGTCCCCTCAGAAGGACAATCCCCACACAGGGTCGGTCCCCTCAGAAGGACGGTCCCTTCAGAAGGACAATCGCTCGCTCCCCTCACAGGCTCGCTCCCCTCACAGGCTCGCTCCCCTCACAGGCTCGCTCCCCTCACAGGCTCGCTCCCCTCACAGGCTCGCTCCCCTCACAGGCAGCCCCACCACTCCCGCCCGGCGCGCGCCGCCTCAGCCTCCGCCCCCCGGGCCCGCACGTGCTGGAAGCAAACACGGCGCAGCGCATGCGCGGCTCGGCCGCCCCTCCTTTACCCCCCCCTCGGCTCGGGGCTGGCGGGGCCGGGGGAGGAGCCTCAGTCTCCGGGCGCCTGATTGACTGATGTCATTTCCCCGGCTCCGTGCCGCGCCCGTCCATTGGCTGCTTTCGGACCGCTATCTGCACCGCGCCGCCTGGTTGGCTGTTGCCGCGCCGGCCGTTGCCTTATCGCAATTCGGGCCACGCGGATTAGGGCATCTAAACCCCACCTCTTGCTCCAGCCCCTCCCGCCGCCAACACCAGCTCCGCCTTCCCCGCTTTTCACGCCTCTCATTGGTCCAGAACGGCTTCGCTCCTCCCTCCCGCCCGCGCGCTGAGCTCTCCGATTGGGTGACAGCCGAGCTCTCCCCGCTCCCCCCTCCGCGGCCGCTGATAAAGTTTTGTCCGGAGGCTCTCGGGCCACGCCCCCTCCACCCAGGCCCCGCCCCCCCGCCTTTCCGGCCCCGCCCCTGACCTGCCCGAGGGGGGGCGGCCGTTGAGGCGCGCGCGCGCTCGCGGCGGCGGCACCTCCCGTCCCCTCCCGACCCCTCCCTCAGTCCCGCTCGGCGGCCGCGGCGGCAACATCGGCGGTACCGCTGTGGGCATAGGTGCCTGCTTCTTCTCCGCCTCAGCTCCGCTATCCCCGGGCACGGTGAGCACAGCCGCGCGGAGCCGGGCTCTCCTCCCGAGCCGCCCGCTCCGCGCCGAGGGAGCCGGGGCGGTGCAGGGGCCGGCGGGGAGGCGAGGCGGGATGTTGGGAGGCTGCGGGGGCTGCGGGGCTCTGCCCCCGCCCTGGCACCGCGGAGCCGCTGCGGGCGCGGCCGCCGCTCGTCGCGGCTGGCGCTGGTCACGCTTGTCACCCGGGACCAGGCTGGGCTTTAGCATCGTATTTCATGTCTGTCATATTGTCTGGGAAACTTCTCCAGCCCGATACAACTTCGAGCAAAAAGGCAAAAGAAAAAAGCCTGAGCCTTTTCATTTAATGTTACGGCTGCTGGAAAACACAGCCCGGCAAGTTCCTCTTAAAATATAATTGCAACATCACTCCTTTGGAGGAAGCGAGACCTGGAACATAGGACCGCAGGGAAAGCACTTAATCTCTCCTTTTGTGTAACGTGGGAAAAGACTGGGCTTTTCTGTGCCGTAGGACTCTCCGCTGGGAGGTTTGATGTCTTTTAAAGTATTCCGAGGCTTTTCAGAAAGATTTTAAGTGCAAATTGCTCCTCTAAGGCTTTAATCGGCTGAATTGGAAATGAGGTTGGGTATTGGAAGAGTCTGCTGTAATGTTTTTCTGTCATTTTGGGTAGAAAACCCAAATAAAACCGTAGGAGTGCTGGATGTGGCTGGTCTGAAATTGGGGTATATTCACTCCCCAGCCCGTGGTTCTGACACCCCTTCTGAAACTTGTGTGCGCTTTCTTCTGCCTTGGGCTTGACTGACCTTGCTTTGCAGAATCCTTTGTATCATTGCTACTTCTAAATCTTGTGTAACATCTGCCTGTGCTATAGAAATATGTACTGTAGTTAGGGTTTTGGATGTCCGACTTGCTTTCTGCTTGGTTTTTCTCAGATCTTTTCGAAACTCGGGGACTGAGATTAATGCTTTTCTTTTTTCCCCTCCTTCCAATTCAACAGATGCAGTTTATGTTGCTTTTTAGTCGCCAGGGGAAACTGAGACTCCAGAAGTGGTATGTCCCATTATCTGACAAAGAAAAGAAGAAGATCACAAGGGAACTTGTTCAAACAGTATTAGCCCGCAAACCGAAAATGTGCAGCTTCCTCGAATGGAGAGACCTGAAGATTGTCTACAAAAGGTGGTTCTGTCTCACTAACCTCGTAATTGCCATACATTACAAACTGTGTATTAAGTAGCAAGAAAATAATGAAGGTTGTTCTTGTTTTGTTGTTGTTGTTTTTTTTTTTACTTCCCTCTGCTGGTTACAGAGAAGACTGACTTTTCTCTTGCATCTAATTTGATAACCAAGCAGGAGTCATTCATGTGTGGAAAATCACTCATGCATTTAGAAATGTACTGAAGAAATGAGCTTTCCTCCTATTTTTATAAGGAGTGGCAGTTCTTCTTGGTAGTCTGTTTAGATTCACGCAGTACGTACATGCTTCATATTTGTACACATTTCATATTTAATAAGTGATAAAAATTTCATAAATATTTACCTCAAGAAGTGGCTTCATAAATCACCTGAAAATGTAACTTGCTTTTAAAGGCTTCTAGAAATAAGGACATAGTTTTTCATAGTACTTGGTTTGGGTGTTGCTTTTTTTTTGGTTTTTTTTTCCCCCATGTATGTACAGAAAACGATTTTTCATTATTGAAAAAATCATGGCTAGCTTTCTTTTGATGAAAGTACTGTATAATTTTCTTCATGATATTTTCATTTTTCAAGTGTTCCCTAACCTTTCTAGGAGTATTTGGCAGGCATTTTTTACCTTTGTGCTGATCTTTGGAATGTATCAGAGTGTAGTGGTGTGAGAATAATTCTTCTCCAGAAATAACAGTAATCCTCCTCCTGATGTGGTATGCTGCATCTCTTCCAGCTAAAGGTGGTGCTACAAAGCCTTGAGTTATCTCTCTCCCTAGTTAGTTGTAAACCTGAAAATGTTTATGCATTCCTGTTTTCTCGTGGAGATGGTAGATAGTTTGTGCCCCACAGTAAATATTGTTGTATTCCCTGTAGATGGGACAGAAAGGACTGGAGCAGAAATGAGTGATTTGTAACTCTTCTCCAGGATAAGAAATGAGTAGTATCAAATATGTTTAGATGTTTTCAGTGCTGCTCTCATATATACATTGGTTTGTGTAAAGATATGTATGTGAGTGTTGCTGGTCTGCCTAGTGCATGCAGTTCTTCAACAGGAGGAGAAAAGAGGAGAAACAATGCATGAAGCTATGCTGATAGCATACACAGTTTCTTCTGCCTCTTGATTGCCTCACAAAACTCCTTGAACACGTATGTAGACAAGCTTGCTCAAACATTTGCTGTGCTTTCTTCCGTATTAATGCCTGCAAGTGCCTTTTCATGGGGCTAAATCAGAAAAATGAGACATTAGTAGGCCAGTCTGTTTCCCTCCTTACCCAGTCTTGAACGGCAGTAGTTGTTCCGGGGATGCTTCCACACAGCTGCTTTCCTTCCCAGTTTTTTGCTGTTAGCTACTCCTTGCCATGTCCTTTTGTGTCTAGGGAGCTGGTGGAAATTGGGGTAGGACTGTTTGAGTTGCTCAATGTTGTGGAGTTCTTGCATCTCAGTGGTGTGTTGTGCATCCTGTGGTCAAGGAGAATGAAGAAATTTGCTGGGAGACATCTATGTCTGGCTAAAAATGGTCTAAGTGCTGCAGTCTGTCTGCTGGACTGCTGGTGTGCACAGCTGACTGCAGTAGCTTATTTCACTCTCTGCAGACCAGTCTGGCACAGAGAGCCTGTGAAACTGCTGAAGATGAGCTTGTACCAAGCTAATGAACATCTCAACTTTTTTTTTTTCACTGAAACATCACCAGAAGGACTAGGTGTAAGAGGTGATAGTTTAAATGTCTGTATCTGGTAACACTACCAGCTCTTAGGTTTGTGGGACTTGTTCCCATCATTGCATCATAGTTAAAGATGATGAGCACCAGCTAGATTTCTTTGTAAAGGGTGACTTTTTGTAGCTGAGAAGGTGGTGGCTGAAAGCAAAACACACCAAAAGGAACTCTGTGGCTTGAGAAATTGCAAAAGGTGCTCGCAGTTCCTCTTGAGCATCTCTAGAGGATCTCTGCTAAGATTTGTTCTTGTCTGATCTATTGCTGGGAATGATCTGAACCTGCTGGTGCAAATGTTTTACAATATAAGTTCTGAAAGTATGTGCTTATTGCTATTTTGCATCTTAAATTCTTGAAATTTAAGTGCTGTTTTTGTTTTTAGAGTGTGTTTGTTGTTCAAATGTAGGAGAATTGAATCTGGATATTGCAGCTCAAAGAATGATTGGCAGTATCAGAACTGTATTCAGGGTCTCATCATACTTTTTGAAGGAATAAAATGAATTTAAATGCAGCAGTTGGCAAGACAGTAGCTTTGACTTCCTTATGATACTTAACATTTATTAAGACTGCTGGGCTATTTTGATTTGCCTCCTTAGCTCTGTAGCATTTTGACTTTATAGGATGCTTTCTGAATTTTCAAGGAAATAGATCTTAAAATTCATCTAAATGTAGGTCATGTAGCTTTTATTTCCCTCTGGTTTCATACATGTACCATTTATAATGGTTGCAACACAGGCTCAGTCTTTGCCTTCTAAAGTTTTTTTCCTTCAGCACTACAGAACACAGAGAGGTGCCCAGCTTTTGTCATGGTGTGTGAATTGGCTTCTATGTATTCTGTAGCTGCTTTGGAAGATAGTTTTTCAGGCTGATAGACGCCAGAAGATTAAAAAGAGAATGGGGGCTTCTAACTTCAAGAAGCATAGAGATTTGAAGTGACTTGCTGGGAAAATAAAAAATTAAATATGGGAAGCCAACCACAATTATGGTTTATGAAAATAGAGGGGGAGTCCTATGCAGACAGCTGATTAGAAACTTAACAAACATAGCTGATGTGTTTGCTCTTCACAGTTTGTCATTTAAAAAGTAACATAGTGGTTTTGGAGCATATAGGGTAGAAGTTCCTGTAGCTTTCCCCCCATGACAGAAAAAAATGTGTTAAATGTTAAAATTTTCTAATTTTTTCTTGGAAGACTTCTTCTGTTAACGATTTTAACTTCTGGCAATATGAGTTATTTTCATTGTGTAGTATATTGCAGTTAAAGTCAGAACTTGGAGAAAAACTTATTTTATATAAATTTTACTTTGTTAGCATATGTTTAGCTTCATTCATGGGACATAGTTTAGTTATTTAGTTATTTGATTAAGGATTGTGGCTTTGCTTTTATGTGTCAGTTTGGAACTATATTTGGAGTAGGATATTATGAAACTACAATAGCTTTTGCTGTTCTTGATGTGGCAGTTGTCTTTTACTTTTGCACCACATAACCATAATCAGAGGTTATGTTAAAGACTTAAAACTGAATAAGTTTTAAAACTTTCTTTCTTTCTTTCTCCACTGAAAGAAGCAATGAAAGAGCCCATTGTGCAGGTACTGTGTCTCTTAAAGTGTTGTGAACTGGAGGTACAGCCATGTGGCCAGTGGGATGTGCCCAGCTTGGCATGATCCCTGGTTTTTCTTATGTATCACTTAGCAGCCAGTCGTACCTCTTGAAAGTATTACTATGATGTTAGTTAGGTAGCTTTGTAAAACTGGCTGAATGCAGTGATTTTAGTGAATTAGATACTTGGACTTGATAAATTTAATTAGATCATGTCTTCTTTGTACAGAGTTTTAGTTTGTGTGGCACCAGGAGGACCTCAGTATCAAGAGGCAACAGCTTTTTCTTAGAGAATTAGCAGAATCAAATTCTTGTTCATTTTGAAGCTGCTGGGGGCTATGGCCTTGCTGAAATAAGAAACTGGAAAAGTGCTTCACTTTGATAGACTATGTCCTGGAGCCTCAGAAGTTCATGTTTTTTTAAAGAAATGTGTAAAGTTGTGGGACAAGGAAAAAAAAACAAACTTGGGTCAAGCACAGCTTATTAGTTGTCCCAATTTTCATTGGGTTAGCTATCAGGCAACCATAGATTCTTGGGCTCATTAAACACTTGTCTGCCTCCCCATTGTCATTTAGAGTTCTGTTCTGTTCCTACCAAGCTTTGTAAGCTTTAAACTTCCACAGTTAGGATCTACATGCAAAGTGACTTAGATGCTGACAGACTTATGGCTTGTTTGCAGGCTTATCTGGTGCTGAACTTGCAGGGATGACTTCAAGCAGGTGTTCTCTCATCCAGAAAGAGAACACCACCAAGCTGGTAGGATTTGTAAGTTGTGCTCTGCCCACAGTGACCTGATCTCTCAGCAGAGTTACTGAACTTGGCTGTGAGAACAGAAGAGAACTCTGCTGAAATATTGCCTGCCTGTTTTGAGGCTTCCCACTGCTGAATTATTGCAACTCTTGAGGGGAAGATGCATGGATTTGTTTCCTATCAAAAAAGAATAATCTTGAGGCCATCTGTCTAAAGGCAGGAATTTGCATAAGTATTTATACCTGCTGTGTACCTTTTTGTTCTTTAATCCTGTATTACATTTTCAGGTGATTTGGTCCAAACAGTTTTTGGTCTCTCTGGTTTTGGTCCCCTTTCTGATAGGTGGAGGATATTTGTCATAAAATATTTTCCTAAATGAGGGTAAGCAGCTGAATTGAGTCTGATTATTATTTTAATAATGTTTAGTGAGATAAAAAAAAGACCAGAACTACAATAGGAATAAAAAAGGCAGAATGTTTCTTACAGACTCCACTTTATTTACTTCTGGGTATGTACTTTTCTATCAGGGTTTGCCTTTTCATTGGGTGCATCTGAAAGGTTTCTATCAGGCTCATTAGGAAGAAGCTGTTTCTGCAGAGCAGAAATCTTTTTGAGCCCGAGTAATCTACTTGTCTTTGTGTGGATACTGTCCATATAAACTTCTGCACTTGGCAAAACTTCCAGTGTCTGCTGTGGATTATTAGTGAGCACTTTTTTTTTTTTTCTGAAGCCCTTTCTACAGGGGAAAAAAATTAAAATTATGCCTCTGAGAATTTGGATCTGAAGCATTCCTTTGTAGTATGCTCATACCCTTTGGTATGACTTGTTTTTACTCTTCTGCCTTTTGCCATTCAGGCTCATTAAATCTGCATTTGTTTTCTTTTGTTGAGTAGTGATCCATTAGTCGTGGTTGCTACTTAAAAAATAAATACCAAAATATTCTCTGCTTATAATAATAGATACCCAGGCCTCCATTTTGTGTTGATATCCACTGAGTAGTTTTTGTTTCTTAGTCTTATTTCTCCAGAACTGCAGTTGGCAGGGCTTGAATGTGCAGTCTACTTGCTAGCTGCCAAATACAGTCTTTTGAAAGTATGTTTTGTGCTCTCTTAAATGAGGACACTGAGAGCAGACCATGATCTGAGAAAGTATTTTGTGTTGGACTCCCTCTCTCCCCTCCTCCCTTCTTTTTCCATAAAATAGTTCTCTGTGTCAAGAGAGACTCCTATGTATTAGAGGAGCAGAGAGGGAATCCCATGTGGATAAACTTAAAATATTTGAATCAAATTTGATTTGATAAGGTCTGCTGGTACATGGTTCAACTTGTGTTTAAGCATTATAAGGAAACAGTTGAACTGCACTTGATCGTAATCAGTGCTGCTCTTCTGCAGGTGATGAAAGGCTTTGTTTAGATGGATTTGGCCTGAGTGCTGGTGATTAGTGCAAATAACAAATAATGTGTCAATGCTCTTTTTTGCTACAATGAAATATGATAACATGGAGCTTGACTTAGAAATTCCTCAGTAAGTTTCAAAGCATGTTTTTTCTTTATAATATTTCTTTCCAATACTTTTAGAAATAGTTTAGGTTCCTTATACAGATTGAATGTTGCAAGGTACTACAATGACTGTAAATGTCCTTGAAAAATTAGTGAGGCATAAACAGAACAATGCAGAATCAAAAGAACTGTGCTCAGATAGGACTTGTGATGAGTTGATGCATCCCCGTGGTGAATAGATGAAAGAGAGAGGGAATGAAGGTGTCCTTCACTGGAGGTGTCTTCCTCTCTTCCCCCATCATGTTTTGTGGTAGGAGAGGCAATAATATTTTATAGTAGTTTAAAGATTTTGTATAAGAGCTATTCTGATTAATCTTTCATGTTGAAGCTGTAGCAATTTGATTTGGAGCAGAGTGGGAGAAGGGGAGACATTTTCAGATCATAAATGGTACTGGATAGGTGTCTTGGAGATAAATTTCAACATAACTGAAAATACAGCAGGGTTTTTTCAGAATTTCTAACTTCTAAAAGTCTGACAAGTCCCAGCTGATAAAATATGTTTAATGTTTAAAAGATGGATGGATTTCTCTGTATGGGAAACAACTATGCACCTTAAACTAGGTATTCATATCTGGATGACTTATTTTTCAGTAGGGTTGGCTGCACAGGAGTGCTTAATGGGGCCAGTTGTCCCCTCTAGAGGTAAACAAAAGCTGTTTCTGGTTTATGTAAATTAGCAGTTACAACAGGTGGCACTTGAAATCTGGTTTGTACCATGTGTGACTGAAAGGCATATGGTTTTGGCATGTTAGAAAAGACTAAATGGGATTTTCAGCTTTCATTCCTGCTTTTTTTTTTCTTTTTTTAAATTAGATTTCTTTAAACAGGGCTTGAACAAATATATAATAGAGCACAATAGAATTGGATGGTCTTTTTGTTAAAGTGGAACTGGATCATATCTGAAGTTATGACTTCCCTGTCTTCCAAGATGAAGTGGATTGCTAGAAACTATTTGATGGCCTCTCATCTGTCTGATGCTAGGACAGTTAGTAGGGATTGCATTGTTGACTTAGTAGTAGTTAGGGTGGATGACATTGGTGTTGGTTTTGGAGTTTTTGCGTTTTTAAAATTCTCTATAAAAACCAAATCCTAATTGCTAATTCAGTCTATCTTTCTTGAGGCATTATGGTTTTTATTATCTGTGTATAGCTTACATGATGAAAGTTTAACATGGGATCAGTTGATTAATGTACTGGTGTATGGATGTTACAGAGAGAAGAGAAGGTATGTCATCTCAGAACTCTGTCATGATGCCACAAAATCAAATATATTTAGTTTTCCACGCACCTCTTTGGCTGTTTTAGTTCTGTCAGCTAAAGGATGCCCAAGAGTGAAGTCATGCTTGACTCAGAGACATAACTCCCATGTACATGTGTGTGTCTTCTGGTCTGTCAGCCATTCTTTGGTAGGACTTGCTTGGTTGTGATTTGGGTACCAGTATTCTGAACTTGAGTATGAAGGACTGCTGAGAATGTGATACTCCTCAAGTGCATTCATTTTGTTTATGCTTGTATGCTAACATCAGGATTATTTTGTTATTACAGATATGCAAGCCTCTATTTCTGCTGTGCTATTGAAGATCAGGACAATGAACTAATAACTCTGGAAATAATTCATCGCTATGTAGAACTTCTTGACAAGTATTTTGGCAGTGTGAGTTAAGTTTCTTTATGTTTTTTCATTTCTTTTTATGCCCACAACATTTTTACAAGAACATAACCAACTAGGAATTGAAAGGTGTATTTAATGCATTTTGTGTGGCTTGCTTGGCCAAACTAAGCTGATGGTTGCCTCTATTAAAATACAAAACGAAATTATTGATTTGTAGAAGAACTTTCATTAATCTGGTGTTAATTGCCTGTATTTGTTTCATTTCATAGTAGTCTGGCTTGAGGCAGGTAAAATCTTACTCTTAGCAGGAAGCTTTTCTTCTCCCTGGCACTGCTTTAGTGTGAGCACCTCTGACATCTGCTTCCAAAGGAGGCAGTTGGTTGTGAAGTGGCAGGATGTAAGGAAAGGTGTGAGAGACATTTGCTTACCCAGACAGCAAACACAAACTGCTACAGTAATGTGCATGAACACTCCTGGAAAAACTGGTGCTCATTCTGCCTTCCTTCGTAGTCCTTCTGACTATGAAATGCAGACTGAACAAGAAATCTGAGATTATTTATTTTCATATCTTTCTGTAAGATTGTGTGAGCTGCCTTTGCATACTGCAGGCAGCAAGAGAACTTTTATAGGCAATGTTCTTTTGTGTCCTGAGGAGCTGTCTTACAGACTGCTGTGAATTGAAGCCTTTTTAACAGTGAAAGCTTTTTGCAGAGGTTGCTGTAGCTGTTTTTAACTGAAGAAAAAATCTGATTTTTTTTTTCCTCCAAGGTGTGATTTTTATTATTGCCCCAGTCCTTACAAGGTTACAGCCTTAGGCTAACATCTTGATTTGGTAAAGTTTGGTGAAGCTGTGAACAAGTTAAGTTCTGTGAGAGGATATACCTCAAGTGAGAGTATCCTTCCACTTTGCAATAATGCCTGATGTTCTTTTTAGGTCTGTGAACTTGATATCATCTTCAATTTTGAAAAAGCCTATTTCATTTTGGATGAGTTCCTTTTAGGAGGGGAAGTTCAGGAGACATCCAAGAAAAATGTTCTTAAAGCCATTGAACAAGCAGATCTTTTACAGGAGGTAAGCACATCCAACTTCTCTGGCCTAAGTGTCAGCATGGTAGGCTGGGACTCAGAAACCTCCTGTTCCTCTAAGCTTCTAGAAGGTATTTTTCAGCATGCTTAGCATGTAGTTTCAGCTAGTTGTCCTAAGTGTGCAGTAGGATGATGTTAGCTGCTCTTTTCGTTTGGTTTGGCATGTTGATGTTGTAACCTACTGTGACTTCATGTTCTGCTAGTAAATGCAAGTGGCTGTTCTGTGTTCATACCTAGATAATTGTAGATGATGTTAATCTAACTTAGTGTTGTTCATGTGTCTTTCATTCCTTCTTTTTATTTATTAACCATTAATTTTTTTCTCATACCTGATGCATGTTCACTTCTTTACTTTTTCATTGCTGAAATCCAGAAGCTAGACTCTCTTCTTTGAGACTTGCTCAGGTATAGTTCTGATTAGTTCTTAGACCTGCTTTTCTGCTATAGGCTGCTTACTGTGGAACATTTCCAAGCTGACAAAGTAGTAATAGTAGTGCCATAGAAACATACAGAATAAAGTATAAGAACATTGTTTTTTTTCACTTTGAATGCTTTTGTTGTTTGTTATTATCACTGAAGAATGATGGATTGCATGTCTACCATTTAAAAAAAAAAAAGCTATTTGATGTGAAGGGGTTCAATGGTATAGAAAAACATATAATTTCTCCATATTTCTCCATCCTATGCTGGTTATTTTGGGTTTATCTGATTTTGTTCAGTGTTTTTCTTCCTTACTGAAATGTACACTGTTAAGGTCCTTGAACGTCTGTCTGAATGGGAATCAAAAATTCTGGTGTGCTGGGGGAATCATCAAGTCTTGTGTGCAAGTCAGTGAACATGTTTTAACAGGGATGGTTCACCTTTATTTTTTAAAGTGTACTGAGGTTTACTGCCTAGATGCTAGATCCAAGTTGCTCTATTTCCCCCTATGTGAACTTTCAATTTTTTATTTTCTCCTATGAATTAATTGCTTAATTCTTCTACAAGCTGTCTGTGTTCCACTGGGTAGTCTTTTGTTGGACGTAGTGTTAGTAGGATGGGGAAACACAAGGTATGCTTTACCCTGGTAGCTGTTTTTTTTAATCCCTTCAGAATACATGCAGATCCACTGCACATTAAAGTTCTTGTCATGAACAAAGTCAGCCATTACACACAGATTTGCTACCCTATTTTTCTAGAAAGGAAATACATGCACTTATTTACTGCTTGTGTTATGATTCAGTTTAAGTCCTTCTTTACTCTTTGTAGGGATTATTTTAACCAGAAGTCCTGTTGCAGGTTACAAAGATGGGAGAAAAATAATCTGTTCATTCTCTTAAAATCTTTTGTTCTTTATATGAAAACAGATGTAACAGATTAGTTATATATTCCAGTTTGTCTCCTGCAAATACAGTTAATTGTACATAAAGTAGAATAACTATATTTTTCTCATTGTTACTGTTTTTGAACTTTATTTTCACTACTTTTGTGGGGCTGGTCTAAAGAAAAAAATATATTTCTAGGAATTCTTACTATTTTTCTTTCCAAGCAACAAACATTCTCTTTTTACAGAGAATATAATTTCAGATTAATATAACTTCAAGTTAAAAGTCTTTGGCCAAGGGAAATATAGCTTTTCCAATGTGAGACTTTTCCTTAACCCTGGTGGCTTTACTCTGATTACCCTTCCTTTCCCCATCTTTAGGAGATTTTCAGTTGCCAATGTTTATTAAATAATTCTGATTAACTTGAAATGTAGCCGTTTATCACAGCACCACTGGAATCCTACATTGGGCTTCTGTGTTTTTCATTCTTAGTTGTATTGACTGTTGATCAAGTATAAAACTACTCCCTATACCTGTATTTTAGTTTATAAATCCTGTAAAAGTCAGGGTTTATATTAAATTGAACTTCCAATTTGGACTATTTTCTATGGAAATTTGGTTTTGTGTCAACTGCTGCTATGTAAATTCTGGGTTTGATGAAGAGAGTTGTTAAAATACGTTTCTCACATGTGGAGAATTTTTAGTATTTTGAGTTAGTATCTGCTTCTCAGAATACTTTAGAACTACCAGACTGAAATATGGTGTGATTCCAAATGCAAAACATATTTCTAGCAGGTTTGTCATGTGTTTGTTTCTGACCATTCAGATTTTAATTATGTGCAACAAAGTAATTATTTGGCCCTGAATACTCATATTGCCAATATATATATGTACATATGTACACACATACATATATATCGATAAATACACAATATTATTAATTAAATACACAACAAAATTAATTAATAATGTTACAGGCATTGGTGTCTGAAGTACCTTAAAGATGAAGAGCTGTAAAGAATACTTAAACAAAAGAAAATCATTACAGATCCATTAAGTGACTGTTTGTGTAATGTTAAGAGGAAATAGACTAAGGCACGAATTGCTGAGTAGTGAATTAGTTCTTAATAGCCTTGCCTACTTGTATTTTCTGTTGAAGTTTCCCAGGATGTACTTCTATGTCTGAGCACCTTCTTCAATTTGTCATAAAGTTGTTGGTGCTGTGAGCTCCCTTCACTAACTGCTACAGTTTGTGTGATGGAAACACACCAACTTGTTTAACCCCTCTCACCTTCACATTCTTGTTAGTTCTTCAGGAATGTACTTAGTTCAAGTATTCATTCCCTACCCCCTCCCCCATATTTATTACCACCTGATAACTTATCAGCAGTCAGTCATCAATATTGGCAGTGGTACCCAGATGAAGGGTAGTAAAAGGTAATTAACTCCAGTGCTTCCATTCTTCCTTCTCTCTCTCTCTTGTAGAAATGCTTCTGTTCAAAAGAATGCTGATGATTTTGTATCTTGTTTGCTAGAGAGATTTTAATACTTAACTAGTGATTACAAAGGCATGCACTGCTGAAAAGGTGGTTTTTGCTTGTGTGAACAACTCAATTATACTGAAGAAATTGGTAGATGCAGTGTGTTGTTGCATGAATTAAATATGTACATGAGATGTGTGGAACAGCTAAAAGATGAGCCTGTGCATCAGTTTGTGACACTTGAGTTTTTTAAGGCGTGGAACTACCAATGATAGATGTTCTATACAAAAGAGAGGATTTGATTTATTTCTCTCAAAAGTCTAATTGCTCAGGGTTTTTTTGGATGGCTTCAGTAGTTCAGTATGGTGCTTGGAGGTTTGTGGTAATTTCTTGTGCTAAAATGCTCAAATCAAGGAGTTAATGATAATATTTAAACAGAGCAGTCATGTATCTATTTTAAAGCAAATCTGTACAGACTTGCTCCTCTTCATTTGAAGTAAGAATAATTTCCTAAACATTGGCTATGAATGAAAATGGTTTTTGTTGATCATCCTACGTAAATTTTAGAAAAGTATTTTGGAAATCATCCCCATTTTGTTCACCACTCTTCTTTTGTAGGATTTTTTGTGTAATTTTTAATACTTGGTTGCAGAACATTTAAATAGTTAAAAATACATATTTTTTAAGAGATTTCTAAACAAAAAGGCCAATGAGTCTGTCCACAAATCAGACTTGCTTGTTTGTGTCACTACTTCAGTAATGATCAAAAATTTAAAAGCTATGTGAATGGTTTTTTTTTCTTAGGCGCTTGCAGTTTGGCCTCAGGCAGTATTTACTAGTCCTTCCACATGAAGAATAAGAGATAAGCTATCAATTAACCTTATTTTCTTTGCTTTCAAACCCTTGCCTCATCCTATATACAGAAGGGTGCTGACAGTGTTCATGTTCGCTGACTTGCCTCAGATGCTTAGGGTTGGTGCATAGATTTAAGCTTTTGGTTTTAGAATGAGCATCTTTGGAAATGAAACTCTGGTGAATTTCCTGCATGTGTTATGAGAATTTTCTTATTGGAGATGAAATGTGCTTATTGGAAACCATAGGTTTGAAAGTATGCATAATTGTAGGTATTAGGTTGTTCTTGAGATGTGCCAAAACTCCTTTGTCATTAGCACTGGCAAAATTCTTATATTTAAGCCTCCAGTGGGTGGGAGTGAGTATAAGGGATTTTGTCTAGTTTAGGAAACAGTCTTTGTAAGCACCTTTTTATTACCATTTGCCTGAGAAACTGACCACAATGAATGCAGTCAATTCAGTCTTCACTTAATGTTTTTTCTTAAATATGGACTGTTGAAATGGACTGCCTTCCTCAATTGGCAGTGGCATTATTTGCCTTGGCTGTACCTGTGTTCCCCTGAATGTGAAACAAGAATGAATAATGGAATCTTTATTATCATGGAGATCCAACTGCCTTGACTGCCATCTACTCTTCACATATAACTTCAGTGTCAGTTTCAGTGGTCAACTTTGTTGATCAGTTAGTCACTGCAATTTTAAGACATGTATCTGCTTGATTTTAGGCACTGATAATGATCTACAATTATGTTTTAGTAGATACATTTATATGGAGACCTATGAGAGTTACTGTGAATGAGAAATGATAGATTGTTAGTTCATTATTTAGGGATTAGGAAATAGCTATGATTTTTATGGATTTGGAATCCCTCCCAACTCATAGAAGAACAAGTTGTAGTGTTTTGGTAGCTGATGCTTTTGTAAAATGTGTTTTCAGAACTCAGTCTCTGGAGATGTATTTATAGAAGAAAGGGGTTGTAGTGCTGTTAGAGTGTTTGGCACTCTCCATGACACTCAAAGTCATGGCAATCAGATGCAGTCCCAGGTGACTGGGAAGAGGGAAGCTTTGTAATCATTTTAAAAAAGGTAGAAAGGAGGACTCTGGAAACTACCAACCTGTCATCCTGACTGCTGTCCATACCTTAAGGATCATGGACCAGATCCTCCTAGGAGCTGTGCTAGGGCTTGTGGAAGACAGGGAGGTGATTTGGGACAGCCAGCACAGCTCCACCAAGGGCAAGTCCTGCCAACCCCTTCTCTGGGTTGGCCTTCTGTAATGGAGCAACTCTGTCAGTGGGCCAGGGGAGGGCTACAGATGTCATTTATCTGGGCACAGTTCCCCATACAATTGCTCTCTCTAAATTCAAGAGGGGTGGATTTGATGGGACAGTTACATCCAAAGGATAGCAGTCAATGTCTTGGTGTCCTGATGCATTTCAGTGGTGTTCCTCAGGGGTCAGTAATGGGACCAGTGCTGTTTGATGGCTTGGTTAATGACATAGAGGGATTGAGTGCACCCTCAATAAATTTGCAGGTGTGGTGGTGTAGCTGAGTGGTGCAGTTGACACACATGAAGGATGGGATGCCGTCCAGAGGGACCTGGAAAAAGCTGGAGAAGTGGGCCCCTAGGAATCTCAGCAAGTTCCACAAGATCACATACAAGATGCTGCACCTGGGTCAAGGCAATCCCTGTTATCTGTACAGGCTGGAGGGTGAACAGGTCAAGAGCAGCTGAGAAGGACTTGGGGTGCTGGTGGATGAGAGGCTGGACATGACCTGTGTGTGTGTGTGCAGCCCAGAAAGGCAGTTCTGCCCAGGGCTGCATCAGTAGCAGGTCAAGGGAGAGGATTCTGCCCTTCTACCCTGCTCTGGTGAGACCCCATTTGGAGTGCTTCATGCAGCTCTTAGGAGCAAACCTCTAAAGGTTTCTGAATTTAACTGTAGCAGACAGGTCTGTAAACCTTGATATTTCTGTATTTTTAATAGATCATTTTAAACAGTCCTTCTTGCACTGCAGAGTAGGCTTTCCTGCAAATACTGACCAAATCACACTTTCATGTTTAAAGTAATAGAAAGTATTCCAGAAAGTGAACAGTAGAACCTGCATCTCTTTTTCCCAAATAGTAATGGGGGAAGAGGAGGTTAACATTTTAAGATTTAAATATCTTCTTGAAAAAGTGGCACTGAGTATCCAGGAAGTTACCATTATCATGCTTTGACCTCTTCCCATGCTCAGTCTGATTTTTTTTTTTTTTGTTGTTTCTTTAAGTGTGTATGTGTGTAAGATATGACTAATTCTATTACATCAAAGAAATCAAAATTAGAAGATCTTAAGACTCAACAAGTTGAAGTCTTTCATAAAAGTTTTAAATATGCATTCATTAAGCTTTGCAAATTGAAACATCAGAAAGTTTCAATTAAAAATAAGACAAATTAGCATAGGCAGTCCTTGCTGTCTCCTAACTATCCAGTAGCCTCTCTGATGTGAATTCCATTACTGATCAGTTTGCAAACTGTGAACTTAATAATTTATTGATATAAGCAATTCTTGTAGCACTGTTGAGGGTATATTAACAATACACTGAACTCTTGTAGATTATAATTCTAATAAGGATGTATTTATTCTGTACATTCAACTGATAGATTTTTTTTCCAGAGACATTCTCCTGTCCTCAGCAATAGAAGCACTGTGTCAGGGTGATGCAAGGAAAATTTTAGCACTGCTGCACGTGCCATAGCTGTTTTCAGGAGTTTAGTCATGTGCTGCTCATCAATTAGCATAGTAAATTCAGGGAACAATTGCAGAAGGCCGCTTGAGAGTAAGGAGTATCTTATCTTCAAAATCAGGTGCTCTTTCTGAATGCTCACATTAATCTGCATTTTAATAGAACAAGTTCATTGGATGTGGCAGGATGTTGAAAAGATCAATGTTAATGTTTGGATCTTGAGATTGTGAGGAGAAAATTCCATTTTTACTCTTGTTTTCTGAGATGTATCATGTTGCAGTGCTACTACCCTTTCCTAGAATTTTCACTACCTGTGAGATGGTCTTAGAGTGCCAGAGAATATTAGGTGAAAAGAGCATCAATGTCCCCAGGCGGCATCCTGTTGTGTTTGGTTTTAGATTCTCATTTCTTTGTGGTCTTCTCTGTGTGTTGTACAGATGTTGGGGCACATTGCTGGTATGTGTTTTAGGGCTTTTATTTATTTTTAAGGGAGAAGCTATATTTTTTGTTGCCAAGCTGTCTAGCAACAGTAGTAGTTCTGGTGATGGATATCACGATACAATAAAAGTGTATATATTAAATTTTATAAAGGCTGAAAACTTGATATTAAAAGGCAAAAAAAATCTGAGAAGACCTATTGTTCACAGCTCTTTGAGAATTCTAAGTATGTTTGATTAACAGATGGATTGATTCAAGTGAAAATGTTGAACTTTTTGCACTAAGCAATACAACGTGAAAGTGACTACTCAGCAAGTAACAATGGTGACTTAATAAATATGAATTTTGAATTAAATTGTTACATTACTTCAAGGATGATAGGCTGAATGAAACTTTTCGTCATGAAACAAGTCTTATTATTAATGTTAATAATAATACTGTGTGACAGTTAATCACTGAATGAAATATATGTAAATTTTATATTCTATTACGCTTTTAATCTGTTCCAGTAATGAACGACTGCTCTTTAAAAAAGTAAAATCTTTGAATTAAAATTCCTTCATGCACAACTGAAGCTTTCTAAAAAACTCTTTACAACATACTCTTTTAAGGTACCGATATCCTGTACCCGGTTAAGAAATGAAAAGTAAACTTCAGAGTTTTTCTAATGCATCTCCTTGAAGTCTTTGAATAGATGTTTTCTTCTGGTGCATTTGTATTTTCTTTCTTAACAGTGGACTTTTAGGAAAACCTATTGAAATAGTATTAATCTAAAGAATAACAGCTGAAACAGATTTAAGTGAAATAACTGAAATTACTTTTGTATATTGTTTAGAATATTTTTAAGTCTTATTTTAAATGTAAATAAGCTATACATGATTGGGTGAATGTTGGGTTTTTATTTGCCTTTTTTTTTTTTTTTCATTTAGTAGTTGATACTACATTTTCACTGCTGCTTGATTTTGTTTGTAGAGCCAGAACGAAGACTGGGGAGGTTTGTCTGAGGATATCTTATGATTAAGAGCAATCTAAGGCATTAGCCCTTTTGACCCCATCTAAATGATTGGTAACTACCAAGTTTACCATTTTGGTGGCATGGATTAAATGGGTGCTATGCAAAGAGTGCTGCACGTGTAATTAAGTCCTTGCAAGGGTAAACAGAAAATGGGTGATGGGCTTAACTTTCTGCAACACTTGCATGATGGTCTTTGAAGAGTGCTTTGAGTGTTTTTATTTTCCTTTTATGTACTAACCGCATCAACTTGAAATCTCTGACTTCTACTGGCTTTCTTTGGTGTTGGTAATTAAGTGGGATAATGCAAGTTAGAGAAATGGATACCAAAGCTAATAACTAAACAGATGTTTGGCTTTGTTTACTTACAATCAGCCCATATAAACATGTATTTATTGGAAAATGAGCTGTTTACATCTGCTGTGCAAAGAAAATGGGCCCTAAAAAGATTGGGTGCTGCTGCAATTGACTGTGTATCAAAATGCCGGATGCTGCATGACAGAACAAAGCTTATTTGCATATATAGTGCATTGCAACATATTTTTGTCCAAAGCATAAGTGGAATACGTTGTGGCAGTCCTACTAATAAAGGTAAGATTTTAATTTGCATAAAGCAAGTTTAAAACATACACGAAAATGATTTGCTGGGAAAAACTTAATTAGTCTGCTACTTATTTGATATAATGATAAACAAGTAGTTCAGTAAACAGATTGGCTTTTGTACTGTGGAACTGTGGTAATAGATCTAATTTCATATGCAGATTTATAAATACCAGGATTTAGTTTCCAGATAAAAGAAAACAATTGTAGTAGGCAAAAGTATTTGTAATATGTTCAAAACCAAATTCAGAGCTGGTGTATGGGTATTTTTATCGTTTAAGAGTTTCCTAGTATATGATAGAGCCATTGATTTGTGTTGGGAAGAGGAGAGCAGCCAATAATCTGCTTGCATATTAGACCTGAAGAATTAGGGCAGTCAACAAGCAATTTGTTGAAAAAGATTTCTTTATGAGCTTGGACATATTCTAAAGCAACTGTGAGAAAAACTTAAGTGCTCAAGCTTGATACTTTCTACATTTCCCCCCCCAATTTTATTGCTTTTTCTGTGCTCTTCTTGATAACAAGTTCATGTACAAAGAGTGTGATTCTTATGGTGAGGTTAGAATTGAAACTGTGCCTGCAAAACTTTCTTTGTGATTAGAACTTTAAAAATTACCTACATTGTTCAGGACCTGTGCTATGAACAGAGCTTAGGAATCCTAATCTTTTTTTTTTTTTTTTTTTTTTTGTGTCTCAGATGGCTACAAAGACCAATTTTGACACATACAAACTCAGGCTTAGATAATTGTGTGAATCCAGTTTACCTACCTACAATATGTCCCTGGGTGAATTCTGTGTGTGGGCATAGTTTTGGTTGAAGCAATGTGCTTTGTCCCCATGAAATTAAACACAGTTGTATGATCTGATGCCCATGGAATGCTACTTCTTGGCCTGTACTGTTCCTTGGAAGGAGTGAAGGAATAGTTGCTGTGTTCAGATCCTAATTTACAAGGTTGTTGTGGTTCCTCAGAATATGGAGAAATAGAAATGGCATCTGCTGGGCTGAGTGGAGAGGGAGAGATAGATGGTTGCACATAATCAGAGATGGGGAATAGATAGCCTGCAGTAAGGAGCTGCAGGTTGTATATAGGAATGAAGTTCATCTGGGTTAGAGGAAGATCTCCTGAGGTAAAGGAGGTTGCCTTAGGGCAAGGGGAGGAGTTTGCCTCAGAGCTTCGGTGTTTGGATTAACCTGATGTTTAACTAATTGGTTATACAACTTTAAATTACTATAATCCTTGTTACTCTGAGGCATAACCAAGCCTAGAATGAGTAGAACTTGTTTTTCTGGTTGTCTCTTTTAGAGAGCTTTTCTGTAAACTAGGGTGTTGAGTACTACGTGCTCCATGTGGCAGTTGTAATAAGCCACATATTTAGTAGTCGGTTTCATAGAGAATATGGGGAAATTTATGGTAAGCCTTGCTTAATATTGAGAAATCACATGAAATCTTGATATACATTCAAATTGTTCTGTGTAGAAATTCTGCTTTCTACAGAGAGCATTTTACAGTGGTAAAGTCATGGTCTTGAGTCAGGAGGCAGGGTTGCTCATCACCCAAACTCATGCTACAGTGACTGTTGTTGAGAAAGCTGGATCTATTCTCACTCTGACCTTTGTGTTGATCTGCTTGACCTGTGCTTCTGGGGCTCCTAGATTGTTAGCCAAAACTTGAGCTCATGTAGAGGGAGCATGAGGGAAGTGCCAGGAGGAGAAAACCGGTGGCATTGAAAAGGGAAGTAAAAAGCAGCTGCTTTTGGCAAGCCAGGACTTTTGCTAAAGTTGATAGTACAGCTTAAATTACGTCCTATTTTTTAAAGAATCACAATATCTAAGTGCTTTAAAAAGCCAGTGTTCCACACATCTTGTCCTGACTCACTGTGTGCTGTGAACCCCCAAGTCAGCCTGCAGAGGTAGGGTCTAATTTACTTGTCATATGCTGCACCCCTGCTGTTGGCCTGAGTCATAGGAGTGTAGTGAGGAGCTTCAGCAGCAGTATTGACTTTGGGAGTTTTCAGCTGTCCTTTCTCTCCCTCTTTCCTTGTGCCAGGAAAGCTATTTATACAACCATTCTAGAACTGGATTTCAGATCCATTTAAACTAATCCAATTCAAATTGTTTATTTTAAAAAACATATAGTCAGCAGCTTTTCTTTTCTGTGTTTACAACTTGTGCCTGCAAACATTTGTCCAAACAATTGTAAGAATGCAAAGTGCTGCAGTGCCAGGAAGGAAGGGAGATGCTTAAATGCCATTGCCATGGAAGCTGAATAGTATTGGACGTGACATGGCTTGTTGCAGCAGTATATTCTGGTCAGCTCTTCAAAGATAACAGCCCTGCAGTTTAAGAAATGCTTCCTTGAGCAAAGGAGAATAAGCCATGCAAACCTGTATCTGCAGTGCTGAAAGAAAGCATTAATGAATCCTTGCGTGCCTAGTTTGACAGTTTGCCAAGCATCCAGACACTGTCAGATTATCTGATGGAGAAGTCAGTGATTTTTAAAATAATTTTGGCTCTTAACTTCACAATACAAAGTGTTCAGCCGTAATACGTGCTTAAAGCATTTGTGCTTTTGTGGTGGCGAGGTGGAGCCTCTGATGGATTCTTAGAACCATCCTTGCTGCTGAAGGCTGGGCTCTCGATTATTCCTGGCTCGCTGCATAGCAACTGATTGGCACATGTGGAGGAGAGCCCCAGAGCGATTATCACCTCTGAGCTGGCAGATCAGAGCAGCAGCTCAGAGGCAGGAAGCGCCTGCTATTATCCGGTTATAGTGCACAAAGCTTCAGCTGATCTTTGCAGTGCTCTTGGGAGAGAGGCAGGCAGGCACTGCTGTCATACCCCTCTGGTCTGTTGAGGTGATGTTTTAGAGCTGAAGTCTGCATATGCTTGGATGTTTTGCTGAGTAACATTTGCAGGACAACTTGCTGTTTCATATTCTAGTTGAGAATTCTGTTGACTGGTTTGCATCGATCTTGAAGATTTTTTGTTTTCTCTGTATAGAAAGCTGCAGACAAGATCTTGACTAGGAGTTGGTATTGATGAAGTATTCTTTTTATTTGTTTGCTTGTGGGTTCTTTTGTTTTTTGTTCTTCTTTTGTAAGAGCATTATAGTTAGTACTTGTCTTTGAAGATGTTCGTGTTTCTAAGTTCTCTGAGATAACACTTGGGTCTTCTTTGAAAGTAAAAACAGAATTTTGTAATAAAAATGCCTTAGTGGGAAATATCAAGGCCAGACTAGATGGGCCCTGAGCAACCTGGCCTATTGGAATGTGTCTGCCTATGGCACAAGGGTTGGAACTAAATGATCTAAAATATCTCTTCCAACCCAAACTCATCTTTCTAATAGAAGTCTCTGAACAGTTAGCTAACCAAAGATTGGGAAACAGGTACTCTCCTGTTTTGAAATCCTTGAAAAGGCAAGTGAACAGCAGCAATTTCCTAAAGCAGCTGTTCATTAGAAATATTGCCTAATAACGATTCAGAAGTAGAGTGTAAAAGTAATTGCTTTTGAAATTGCTAAGGAAGTACTTGTTAAATGTGAATTTCTTCCTACTGCAAAAACGTCATGTTTCTAAACATAAATCCTCATCCTTTTCTCTTAATTTTCCCATAGCCTGCTTCTGTAGAATTCTTCCCAAACTTCCATGCACTCCATGGACCCTCATCTTGTATGTTGTTCAAGGTAGGGTTTTGTTAGATGCTGAATGAGGAAAAAAACCAAGTCTTTATCAAACAATGGCAGTTGTAATTCTTGTGTGCAGTTTAACATGGCTTGCCTTCACAGACTTTGTGCTGGGTTTGATGGGAAAGAAGTTAAAATAATAACCTAAGCAAACTTTTCCTGAAAAAGAAGTTGTGTGAAGTGTTGATGAAGTCTGTGTCACTGCCATGAGAAGTCATCAGTAAAATGGCAGCCCTGCAACACGCTGAACTTGAGACAGTTTGGTATAGACATAAAGAATTTCTTTTCTCTCTCTTGCCTGAGGAAATAGCACAGTTTTTTTGTCCACGACAGACTTAAAATACCTTAAATTGCAGCAAGTAAATAATTCAAGGTAGATGTTAGGCAAATTTTCCAGTGGAGATAATAATTTAGCATTTAAGTAGATTGCCTGAGGCACAATAAAAAGGCATCACTGGATGCCTTTAATAGATGAAATATCTCTCAGGAAAGTTATAGGTATACTGTTAGGGGGACTGGATTAAATGAGGTCCCTTCTAATTTTATTTTAGCTATGATTTTTAATTAGTTTGGGTCATGACAGAGTTGGCTGAGAAAATGTCAGTTGGGTTGGACTGGCTAAATAGTTCTGTTTGCTCAGATCAACTCTACCATTTTTCTAATTTAAAAAATTTCCAATGACTCAGGCTGACAATTTCAGAGAGTATTATTAGCTTTTTAAAATGAGTTGTCAACACAGATGTCGTTTTGAAGAAGATTAATTCTAGTAAC